ACTTATGGAATATGCAAGGCATGCATTTACTTTTATTCCTCATACACATCATGCACAGAAAATCAGAAATAAAAATTTAAGGGAGTTTATTATTTTGAGTAAAATACTTCCGTTGTTTTTTCAGTTTGACACAATGTGGTTATAGGATGAATCACAATGATCTTTTTCCAAATTATTCCACCACTCAGTCAGCTCAGGTAGAAAGAGAAAATTTAACCAAATGTAAATATGTGGAAAGTGCATTCTACCAAGAGGGAGAGGACTATTCACTCTTCCCTTTGCAATGTAACAGAGGGATTTTACTGATCAAAAGTAGATACAAGTTCTGTCTTACATTTCTGCTGAAAGATACCTTGGCCAAACAGCTAAAACTGAAATACTACATCCAAGTGCCTGCTTATGAAGTGTTCAAGCAGGGGGCAGGAATCTGTTTTGCAGCTAAAGCCACGGCAATTAAGTTATGTATTTTTCCATGTAAGTAAAACTGGTTCAATTATGGTAGGAACCACATAATTCTTTTGGTGTAAATATAACTTTTAGCAGCATATGATGGGATTTGGCAATATTATTGGAGGTGAAAGTACTTGATACTGCAGATGTCTAAAAATACCATTCATTTTTGCAATGAACAAGAAGCATAGGACTTGTCTTGTGATAATAATGAGATATTTTCTAAAAGTAAAAATCCCAACTAAACCATGGTATCAGAATTCAAAAATGTGGTTTCAACAACTGTGAAACATATCACAAAAACTACTTACAGTGACTTCTGCAGTCTGCCTCAGAAGTGCTGTAGGAAACAACTATAACTGTTTACAAAGCTGATGATATTTCAAGAAAATCTAATTTTGAAAAAAAAAACCATACCAACTGACAGAAATGAATAACCAATCATAAACATCATTTTGCACAGAATGCTTCTTATTAAACACAAAATGTGTGCAAACCATTAATTCTGCCTTCATTACAGCTAGCATGGGAAAGAAATGCAGATTGCTTTAGAAAAAAACATGTTCCCTGTCATAAAGTAAACTGAATACCCACATCATTTCACACTTAAAGAAGATCTTCCTGCTAAAGACGAAGATTATCATAAAGCTCCTTACAGGCATTGTCTAACTTAGCCTAATCACATCCCTGTAAGGTGTGCTAGCTGTTACAGTGATTTCTGCACATGTGCTCAAATAAGAATAAAGAGGTTTGCACCTCGAGAGCTCACAGTGCCCTGGTGACTCGCTGGGAAAGCCACCCTGGAGCTCCAGCTCCCTTAGGCTGGCCCTCACAGCTGGATTCTCCAGCTCTCATACTGTGTAGAAACTACCCAAGTGCAGGAACATAAGAAGTATGAAGCAGCCCAGATGTTCTGAAAGTTCCATCAAGGCTGTCATTAGTAAGAGCTAATAATACAGACAGTCACTAAGGAATGAATTGCTGTAGTCCTGCCTTCCTTTCCCCTTCTACAACCATTGGACTATGAAAGTAGGACATCAGCTTTATTTTTGCTTTTTCCTATTTGATATATTCTGTTCCCTTATCAACTCATTAACTTTACATTCACTTATTTTTCTTATTTATTTCAATATACAGATACTCTGGTTGCTATTTCTGAAGGTGTTTATAGACACTAGGAGCATAAATCATAGTGGTAATCGTCAAGCAGGAGACATTTAAGCCGTTTCAGTTTCTCTAGCAATCTTCAACTTTCAAATGCCCCAATAAACCACAACACAAATCTCTATTTTAAGCATGACACTTTCTAAACTTTGACATGTACACAGTGAATAGAAGGCAGTTACCTGAGCCTTTTGTAAAACAAGGTGATATGCCTTAAGGGACATACCCAGTCCTTAAGGTATGTACCAATCTTCCTTTTGTTGATTTTAAAAAGAGCATGCATGAATTTCACTACAAATGTGAGAGGGACAACAATACAAAATGATATATGTAGTAAAACTAAAAACTTATAATCAGGGATAATTTAAATATAACAATCAACAGTATTTTAAATTATAGATACACATATATAAAATTAGGTAATTATAATTCTTTAAACGATTATGTTTTTAGAAGAGTATGTTTAAAAGATTATGTTTAAACCAAAGAAATTAGAGCATTTTCTGAAGTTTCCCTTTCACTAAAGTGCACTCAAAGGAAAAACAAACAGTAACACACAAAATACACAAAAGCCTCTGTGAGCCTTTACCAAAACCACATAGTGTTAAACTTGAGTAAGAAAGAAGACAAAGTGACTTAAGGAATAAAGAAGCTACCCTGAGCAATGAAATGCATATATTTAGGTTCAATCGTAACTAAATCACAGCTAGAGGAAGGAAAAATGGTCTGTGGAAAGACCAGATCTCAGGACAACTGGAGAGTCGAGATGCCTCTGCAAAATAGCTCTGAAAATTTCTGCAGATTTGAGTTACTGACTTGGACAACCTCCCAGGATCTCCAAGAAGCTTTGTAAGGGATGCTGAGTGTTAGAAGTCCAATTAAAAGCTTTTGACTGGATTCCCTCTAAGGTTCAACACTCAACATTATAGTCTTTTGCCCTACCCTACCACTGATCCAAGTGCAAAGATTTCTTGTAGGATCTGGACAGGGATGAGTAACTACAGATGCTCTTCATCTATAAATAAAACCATGCAGAAAGCACCCTATTTTCTACCCAAAATACGTGCCTCCACAGCTAAATCTGACCAAAGGCTGAAATGGAAACAACTGACAATAAATCAGAAACTGGTCTCTCACTCAAGTAATATAAATAAGACAAGGATGAGCCTTTAAAACCTGTAACATATTTTTGCTGCAATAATAAAAAGTCAGGCTGCCTAAATAATTGAATTCCAATAGTTACATGGTAATTTTGCTCTAAGAGGTATCATCTCTTCCAAATTCTCCAAATTTCTGTAGCATATTGCTGACTTTTTACTCTCTCTATATATTAGACTGAAAGGATGATTTCCAGAACTTCATTTTAGCTCAGAGCAGTATTCCACAGCCATTAGCTTTTTACCCATTTAGAATTACATTCCCTTTCAATTTTTGGGAACTCTGTAGTGTTCTGCATTTAACACCCAAAGAGCCTTCCTATATTAACCACCTAGCAGCACAACCTCAAAGTAGCACACTAGGGATCAAAAGCAATCAGTAGTATACCAGGGCAGCCATTTTAGTAATTTTCCCATTTAGTCATTTTACCTATTTCTTTGCCTTGTGGTCGCTTTTAAGTGATATTTTAGTTATCTCCACCTCACACCTTTGGATTATGTGTCAATTTGGTCAGTGAGCTGCACATACCAAAGTGAGAGAATTTGTATCTGTAGTACCATATTTGAAATGCACATTAGAAAACACCTAATAATGTACACTCACACATCCCAGTTTGCCTGTAAGGCTCAAACCTGTGCTCTCTCATGTTCATGCCAATGTTTACTGGAAGATAAATATTGAAGCATCAAGCAATTATGTGACTTAAGCAAAGTCACTTGGGAATTCTGTTACAAAATGGGACCAAACTTAAATGTCCCATGACATCCATGTGCTAGGGATAACGTAGCACTGACAGCACACTCAGGCTTTTCTGGGCTGGCAGCTGGGAATAGTGGGGTAGTCCACAGCATCTCACATGGCACCAGATCCTTCTGTTTTGCATACTTGTGTATGTAAAAGGAGCATACTGCTCCCTGAGAAACAGGATTGATTCCTACACCTCCTAAACCAACCTTGTTTTATTAAACAGGCCACACTTTTTCCAAAATTAAGACAATATGATAATATTTTATAATTCACATAGTGTTTGAAACTTAAGACTCCTTCATTTTCAATCTTCTAGAAATGAAAGTGGACTGAAAAATAGCCTTTCCTCGTCACCACAATGTAAGAGCCAAACTGAAGTGTTCGGAGGCACACTTTTGGCAACAGAAAATTTTCAATTATATCTCCTGGAACTTTATGCATTTCAAATACTTGTCTCCCTTCTGTTGAATTTCTAATAGATACTGTACAACTTTGGCTTCATGTCCAGAATCCTTTTGTCAAATTAGACTCTGAAAGAATCTCATGTTTAGCTGATAAAGATGATTATGTAAACACAAGTTCTTTGCTTGTTTTTCCACTTACACTTCTCTAATTCAGACAAATCAAAGCAAATCACAGAAACCAATGGCCAAATGAAAATAAGAAATCATATATGTTTTAATTATTTGTGAATTCCTCTTTGGTCAGCTCTGTTTAATGTAGGACCCATTGATCATACCATGGTAATGTCTGCATTTCAACCATCTGAGCAGTTTAGAAACTATTTATAGCATGGGCTCCAATCAGAACCTCACTGTTCAACTGAGAGTTTCATGTATTTTTGGAGCATCCCCTCTGCCTATGTTCAAGGTAGCCTTTGCAGAAAAAGACAATTTATGTCAATAATCCCATGGAACCATTTTAACTCCTTCTAATCCTTGGCAGACCTTGTTCCACCAGCTACCACTGATAGGTCAATCTTTACTTTTCATAACAGAGCATCTTTCATTTTGGAAATTATTTTCTCTACAATTTTTAATTTATTTATCTCAAATTCTTGCAGCAGCTATAATTAAAACATCCTAGTGTGTTTACGTAATTTATATGCTCAGCTAGCTTCCTTAGTAAGACAAGTGTCACTTGTGTTGTATCTTCCATATTCATATTATAGCAATCCTATCTTAATTAACAATAAAATACATAAGCTAAATGGTGCAGTCTTCACTATTATATTCACAAGATGCTTATGGTATTGCATCGTTACTGCACATGAGAAATAACTTGCAAGATTCCTGCCTACCAATACAAAACCATTTTTCAAGATTTAAGTGTGTAATAAATTAGAAAATATTTCTCATAGAGTAAATGTCTTCTGCAGCATAGCACTAATTCATTCTTGAAGATTAACACTTTCTCCTGTGAGGTAGGATGTATATTATTTAGAGGAAAACAAAAGGGAGAAGGAAGCAGCATATCTTTACCCTCCGCACGTCTTTGCCAAACGTTTCGCTGTAGCTGGTGCCCAATATTTCAAATTGGACATAGGGGTTGGCTCCATCTTCTCTGAACTCCATAACACCAGTTAGCCCAGTTATATGACCCTAAGGAAGTAAGTTGGAGAAATTTCAGAACAGAAGACATTTGCCTTCATAAACACTCTTCTGCATAAAATGTGTGCAAATACACTTTAATCATGTTTACAGAGAACTTAAATGTAGCACACGTGTTCTTCAGTAGCTCAAACCTGGAACCAGACAAAAGACTTAGTTTTTAAATTATTTCAGACAATTACTTTAGCACTAACACACGCAGTATTTATGGCTGTTAGGTCATTATTCTCCACAGAAACAGACCCCAAAGAAAAAGAGAAGGGCTTGGTGGACTCTGAGACAACAGCCCTCCTGGTGTAACTGAGGGCAGTGGGCTCAGTTCTTGGCTTGAGTACCAAGGCACGAACTCCCAGCCCAAAACAAAGGGCATGTCTGCTGTGCCCTCAAAAGAAGCATGAAGGAAAGATAAAATTGCATCTCTGTGAAACTATCAGTTTGATTCTGGCTTTGTAGCAAAGAGGCTTGAAATGACACCAAAGTTCGAAATAATTTCGCAGCAAAGGATGACATCATTAGGACTTGTCAAAATGATCAAATTGCATCATTTTGCTAAAGGAAAATTATTTCATCAATATATATTTGGGAACAGGGGGTTTCTTCTGAACAATGCAAAAGTGAGTATAGTAAAATTAGGGTTTTTTCTACTAATACTTGTGATCAAGCAACTTTTATACAAGAAGTTGTCAGGTGTCTGCAAAGCCACAGTTCTGTCCATATTTGAGTATTTCAGCATGGTGCAAGACAGTGTAACTACTAGTGATAGCTTAGCCAAATCAGATCCTTTTTGTTCTGATCTGGGCTACAGTACACAAATAGATCCTTACCAATGCTCAGCTAACTTACAAAGCTATCTGAACTGTAGAAAATGGAACATACGTCTTCAAACTCATCATTGGTTTCCCCCCCTGACCCCCAAGCTCCTTAAGTTATCCTTTTGCAAAAATGCATGAATCAATTCCTATAACTACTCCTGATCCTACTTCCTCCACAGAAGGCAGCTATGAGAACAAGAGAAGCAGAACACACACCACTGGACCCACGCTGCACTGTGTGTAACTTGTTTATCATAAATCATTTACTTGTTTAATAGCTGTGGATTGTCCTTGGTCGTTGCAGATCACTTGCTTGTAATACATCAAAGAAAAGTTGAATAGAAGTTAAAACCGTCTTCAAATGCTCAAGCAGACATGAAGCAACTCTTTCAATTGCTCACACAATCGTGGTTTGTCTTTTCTCACCTTCTTAATAGTCTCTAGCATGGACCTTCCTCCATTCCAAGGTTTGGTGGATTTCCTCATGCAGTTCAGACTTGCCATGCTGTGCCATTTCCTGTCCTCCAGTTTTCTGTGGAAAGCATTGGCCAGCATGAGCACACTGTCATACAGGTACAGGTTGGAAACCTGCAAACAATAATAAGAATAAACCTCTTTTTTTTGTGAGCACCTTTCAAAGAAACGATAAAAACCAGCAAAGAAAACAAAAGAAGGCATAAGTAAGAACTAAAAGCTGGGTATGTTTGACATGTTCAATAGTCAAAGGATTTGAGACAAATGCCCGTGCTCCTGGGTCCCTCTGTCCAAGGGATTCTAGCACACTGGCACTGCCTGAGCATTACTGCAATGCAGTGCTGTAAAGAGAGATCACACTCCACATAAAAACTCAAACTATAGAGGGAGTACAGCTATCTGTCAATGAAAGACAAGGATTGCTACTTTGTCAGTCCTTTCAGCAAGGAGGGAAAGATAGAATGGAATTAAGTTCTTGGGGATTTTATTCATTTGAGCAACTGGTAATTTCTGGCACAGCAAAATACAATATACACACAACTCTTTAGAGGAAGGAGAAATGACAGTATTATTTTAGTCTTAGTATCTCTTTCCACCAAATATACATGAGACTGGTCATGTGCTACTTTTTCTGGAGCTACTGAATTTAGTCTTTTTATTCTACAATTTACATGAGAGATACAGAAATAAACAATTGATGACAAAGACTCCAGTAAGAACAGAACACCACACTAGTAACGCTGAGATATGTATTTAATTTTTCAAACCAAGACATGTCTAGCAATATATTATTAGATCTTTGACAGGCAGTGGTATCCACCTCAAATGGTAAAACTTCAGCAGTGGAAGTTGGCTGAGACAAGTGTTTTAAAAAAAAAAATTAGATACTCTTCACCTGTTCCCAGAGTTCACATGCACTCTTCATTAAACATATGCACAGGGGTTTAGATTTAGTCTTTACTAAACTCAAATCTTCACTTTACATCATTGGCCAGATACAGCTTTTCCTATTAATACAACAACAACGATAATCATAATAATAGTAAAGAACAAGAACAAGAACAAGAATAAGAATAAGAATAAGAATAAGAATAAGAATAAGAATAAGAATAAGAATAAGAGTAGTAATAATGATATTTCTTCTAGCTGTAGGCTTTAAGCATGGTCATCCCTGACTGTCATTTATCTCCTGGATTTTTCTAGTTCACCTTAGAAAGTAATGCCTACAGACGAGGAAAGGGTTGTAGGTGGAAGTTAATTCAGCTGCATACTTCCCATAAATGTCACTTGCTTGGTGTCCCAATAAAAGTGTCACTCTGTGAAAGCTTAAACATATATTACTATTGAATCACTGGCTGCAAGTAAACTTCTGATGGCTGCAAAATGCTAATCTTCAGAAACAAAATGTTTCATGTTCCATAATCTGGACTTTGACATAAACTGAAAACCTAGGCACTTTGAAATATCTTCTAGTATAAGTAAATCTGAACAAAAGATATGTAAGCAAAAATTAATTTTGAAAGAATCAAAATACAAAGAAAAAAAAGATTATTCAAATACACACTTATTTAAGTGACTAAGCATAAAAAAGGATCTCAACATGAAAACAATGCAAAACCTGCGAGATACTATCAGAGAGAATCTCTCTCATCTGGCATTGCCATCTTTTACCCCTTCTTTTCTTTCCAGCCTGCCAAAAAAGCATTCAACAATGCCTGTATTTGCTGTTTTATCCATTTAAACCTTTTCTTCTAGAATATTTTCTGAAGTAGCTATATGCCATACTTCCTCTGGTTTTAAGAAAAGTAGTTAAAGAGTTAATAAGAATCCCAGCAACCAAGTTTCTGCTGCTCAATTGCATTTGTTTCCCTATTCTGCAGATATTTCCAAACAACTTTCAAATAAAGCAACCAAGCAGATCCTTATTATTCAATATTATTCAAGAGGGCACTTCTGGGTTAAACAACTCTTCAAAGAAAAAAATCAAAACAAACCTCAGATCCCACAAGATACACCACTCCAAACCACATCCACAAAATCTACTTTCTTAGAAATAGGTTTTACATACATAAGGAAAAATGTCATTTCTTACAAGCCTTCATGATCCTCTTTGCTCCCAACTGAATTTTACACACTCACTTTTAACTGACAATAATTGTCTGTTGCCTTGGAACTCCCACAGATCAGAAATGCTTTGTGTTTTCTCCATTTGGCACTGTTCTTGGGTAGTTCTGGGAAACTGCAGCCTCATTCCTAAAAACAGTGCTTGGTTTGCTAGCAGAGAGCTCTAAGGCAAAATATAAGAAGCACTTGGGTACACTGTTTTCTTCTTTTCATGTGCTTGGAGAAGACACCACAGTTTTGCACATGTGACTGACAGAGCTTGGGAGAAGTGCACTGAGGATCTCAGCCTGCACAACCTTGTACCAAACTCAAATTATCTCCTGCTGCAGAGCAAAACAGAACAATCCTGTGTTTACCAACCTAATCCTCATAGTACAGCTAGACCTTTAATGGACTTTGCATCACCATTGTTCCATTAATTTCTTTTGAAAGAATGCTATAAACAGAGATAGCAAGATGGGGTCTGCACAAGAGGAGTCTCCCACTACATTTGTATTTATTCTGCACCTGGGGATCTGGACCAAGGCAGAAGAAAATGTTGCAGAGAATACACCAAGGCACTTTTTCCCATGGAAAGAATATTCTGCATGTTCTCTTGTACTATCCACTGGTATTTTGCTCCTCTGGTTCTCTTCTGCTGAAAGTTTCATCCCAAACATGAGTAAATGGTGCTTTTAAATCAGCAAAATTCCTTCCCTCATATAATCATACTCTATTTACTCCAGTAAAAATGACATGCATGCAAAACTTCATTTTACTCATTACTCACTGAAGAGTCAATATGCTATGGAAGAGTAAGTTCCATCTTACTCATACAATCAACATTTCTATTTTAGAACAGAAAACATGCAAGTTTGGGAAAAAACAACATCAAAATTTCTACAAATAAGCCTGGATTTGGAATAGAAAGAAAAAAAAGACACACATTCTGGGCTGATCTCACAGTAAATTCAGGGCTATAATAAATTTTAAAATTACATTTAAATAAAGAAAAATCTCTGCATATGTCCTAAATAATAACTGCAATAGGAGTTTGCTGCAGTCTCCAGAATAGTGATGCTGTGAAAAGGATTCAGTAGACATGGCCTGTACGTCCTTATTACTGCACCTGAGTACATGTTTTAATTTTCAGTCATCAGTCAAATTCCCTATGGGTATGGACATGACCATTGAAAGCAAACTTTTGAGATACCTAAAGGTTCAGCTGTACTCTGATTCCACCAGCACTGTCAGAGGCATGAGAAAATAGTTAACTTTAAAAATTCATTTTCAGGTAGCATTCAGAATTGGTAGTAAAATAAGAGAGAAGTGAAACAAGGCAACATACTTTGGGATTTCAAAGCTCTGGAGCATTTTTTAATTCCTCTATTTGGAAATTCACAAGAGAACAGAAGAGGAAAGAACATATATCTGTCTGAAGAGATTCACCTTAATAGAATAAAAATTCCTAGACTAGAACAAAGTATTTAATTTTGGTCATGTTTGGAGGAAGTGACAGTAATTTTTAATTCTTCTTTCTCTCTATTGTTGACAATGAAAGCACTGGAGGAACTGAAATGGTTTTTGATCTTCTATAAGAATGATTGTGACTGCTTCACCAATATGTTAGAGAATATACTCTGTGCGTGAATAATTTTAGGCATGTTCTGGTTTATCTTCTTGAAATTATTCCAGACTTTATGAAGCTCTTTTTTGCACTAAAGAAATAAATCCACCATACACTAGTAGAGCACGGCAGAAATTTTCAAGGATGGAAATCTATCACAGTATTAAATGTCATTTTATAGAAGTTTCTATGTGAACTTCATGAGATTTTCCAGAATGATTTTACTTTTAAAGTTATGTATGAAGAAAGCTCTTAGCTCCTTCAGAGGGACTAATCATAGACAAGTGCTCTTCTGAGAAGGCCAGCAAGCCACAACGACTGACCCCAACTCCTGAGTAGCCAGCAGAGCCAGGAGTCCAGCCAGAGGATGCTGAAGAGATTAGCTGGAACACAAGCTGACACTGAGATGCCACTACTTCAAAAACTCATTCCCAAGCTGGGCAGCTGTGCCCTGCTGCTGCCAAAACTGCTCTGTGAGTGGCCACAGCAGTCAGCTCCAAGGATGAAGCAGATGGAAGAGGAGTTCAGAGCAGAGCAGCCTGCCAGAAACGCCTGCTGCCTGAGGAGAGAGATCATGGTGACTGCTGTGACACCCCAGCGTGCCCTAAAGCTGTGGGTCAACTTTCAGAGCCCAGGTACTGCCCAGTGCAGCTGCACATTTGTGTCTCTAATGACAGAGTGCATCTTAGCAGGAGCAGCAAAGATTGATGGTTTATTCATGACATAATGGTGTGCTAACAAGGATATTGTTAGAGCAGAGGGACTGAAAATTTGACCTGTTTCATTTTCTTAAATACTTTTCAAACAATGGCAGAATTTCTTAGGTTGGAAGGGACCTTTAAGATCATCTAATTCTGATCCCCCTGCTGTGGGCAGGAATGCCATTCACTAGATCAGGTTGCTGAAACCCCTGTCCATCCTGGCCTTGGACACTGCTGAGGATGGGGCATGTGACTGGAGCACTTGCCAGTGAGGACTGAGGCAAACAAATCATTGAGCATCTCAGCCTTCTCCTTATCCTGAGTAACCAAGTCTCCTATTTCTATCAGAGAGTGTTCATATTTTCCCTCATTTTCCTTTTATCACCAACTAACTGTACACATAGAAGATTTTGGCTTTTTCCTTGACATTCGTGGCCAGACAATTCTATCAGGGTTTTAGTTTTCCAAACCTGATCCCTGACTTCTCAGACAATTTCTCTGCACTTCTCACCAGCATCCTGTCCCAGATTCCAGTCTCTGTAGACTTTCTTTTAGTGTTTTGAGTTTGTCCAGGAACTACTTGTTCATCCTGGCATTTTTGATTGACTTCCTTCTGGATCCTCCTCAGAGCACTCCTGGCTGTATCACTGCCACTGATGACATGGATCAACAGCAGCAGAAAT